GTTAGCAACATACTTCAACTAATATGCCGCAGGAAGAATGGAACATTTTGACAAAAAGTAGAACAAAACATTTTTCGTTGTTTTCACACACCGCTTTTGCTCTTTTTTGTCAGTTTAATGTTTGTAATATTAAACATGTGAATCAATACAATACTGTACACAATGCTTCCACTGATTCCGGCTGCGGGCCATGTCTTCTAGTGTGTTAAGCCATCGGCACTCCTCATCTTTGGGTCCCCATCCTGGAAGACGTACGCCCCAAGAGGAAGGCACTTTCTCTTCATTTCACATTTTTACGAACAGCGTGGTCAGCTGGTTAATACTCACCACACCGCCCTACTAGAATAGCTCCGGAGGAAGTCCGTCTAAGCCGGCAGCCTTGAACCGCTTCAAGCGTCGAATCTCGAGGCAGAGTTCTGCTTCGCTGGGTGGATTCAGAGGGACGAGCCAGGGTGGACAACAAGGTGTACAGCATGTACTGATGGATGGTGGAGGCCAGTTGAACTACGAGTGAAAGTGCTCGGCCCAGCGGTCTATACGCCTCTGTTGGTTGGTGATCGGAGACTCATCCACCTTACAAATGACCTCACTGACACCAGGTTTCCTGAGGCCAGTGGACCGAATGAGTTGGAAAAGCCTGCGAGTGTTGCCAGAGAGGGCAACGGTCTCCATCTCTAATGCACGCTCAGACCACCATGTCTCGCGATCCTTGGGTAGGCTTTGCTTGAGCAGCCGGTTGGCAGAACGGCACCGCTCGTTGCAATCTGATTCCGCCGGGATATCTTTGCGGCGTTCGAACAGCTCCAGAGAACGAGCAGAGATCCAAGCCTTCGAGGGGCGTCGAGTTAGGCCGCAGCTTGACTGGCCGGAAATGGTCATTGCCTTCCGTATACAAGTCCAGTGTTGCTCCACGTCTTGCGGTTGGTTGTTACTGAGTGCATATGCCAGTGAAGACTGATAGCTCGCCTGGACAGAGGAATCAGTTAATCTGTTTACATCAATCTTGCGGTGCTTCGTGATCCTCCAAAACACATACAGATTTTCGCGCAGACCAGAGCATGATCTGAGTCGACGAAGGTGGACCAAAAGGAGCTGCAGTCCAGTACGCTGCCGCGCCATCTGAAGCTAATTGCAATGTGATCAATTTGAGACCACGGTTGTGTTGAAGAAGGGGGACGCCACATTGCGGAACGCTTCTCCGTACGCCTGAAGTTAGTGCTCGAAAGAAACAGACGATTGTCTTCGCACAATGTGAGAAGTCTTTCTCCGTTATAATAGCGGTTCTCATCGAGCGAGTGATGACCACCAAGGTGGCGTTCGTATGGCAACAGGCGGCCAACCCGTGCATTAAAATCCCCAGCAAGGATAACGACCTCCGACTTTTTAGCATTAGTCAAGAGCTGTTGTAGATCCCGATAGAATTCGTCCTTGACCGAGTCGTCACTGCAGTCAGATGGAGCGTACACGGAGATCACAAACAAGTTGTGTCGCTCTTCGCGGTGTCTAGCACGAGTCGAGGAACATGTCTCCGTTTCACTGGTCAAGTAGTGTTTAGGGCAATGTCCCCACATCTAGCGTGGTAACCCTCTTGTTGAAAGTGTAACATTTTGCAATACTTTCTAAGATGGACACTTTCGATGTTGTTATCGATGCATCTGAATGAATATTACGGTTGCACTCCTACAGCGGCGGCGTAAGCACACTTATGGGTGTCCCACGTGATATATTTTTCACTAAATCCCCACTTGTCGTCAAGATCCGTAGGGTATTGATCACTCCTGTCGTTATGGTGTGCACGATGCCGTTCACGGATTGGTGATTCAATTCCGCAACGCTTCAAGCGTTACATCGGATGTTGGATCACGATATTCAGACTCCAGCGGCCAGTAATGACTCCTGCCACCGGTGTGTGACCTTCACACGCAGCACCTGTGCGTGTCCACGTCTGAACACGAGCCAACTAAGTGCGCGTGCACTCCTCAACGCATTACCAATGAACAGTGCTCTCACAACCGCGGCCGTGCGAACCAATTTACACTGACGGCGTACTTCTGCGCCTGGTATGTCATCGGGCTCCGCTGTTTACAAACACTCCACTGCTCGAAACGGTGGAATACGTGTGCGAGTTGACCTGGCAACTACCAATATACGCTACCTTTCCGGAGGATTTGCTAAAGGACATACTATTTCGCTGCACGTTAAATGTTCAATTCACGTTCAATGGTGAGATGTACCGTCAGATTGATGGAGTGGCCATGGGATCTCCTTTGAGGCCGTTGTTGGCTGACATCTTTATGGCGAAATTAGAACATGGCCCACTTAGGACGCACATCAGTGGGACTGAAATGTACGTACGGTATGTCGATGACATCTTCGTGCTTTGCGAATCCGAAACGCATGCAGAACAGTTGCTGAAGGCCTTTAATGACGCACATGAAAACCTACGATTCACCTGTGAGCACGAAAATGAAAACCGTTTACTTTTCTTGGATGTAGAAGTCATCCGCAACTCGGACGGCTCATGTAGCAGAAAGCATACGTGGACTGGACAGTACACTAACTTTCACAGCGCAGTGCCTTTATAGCACAAGAGGAGTTTAATCCGATCTCTTGTCTTCAGGGCGCGCAGTATTTGCACTCCGGATACTGTCAACGAAGAGCTACAGAGAATCAGCGACGCCCTTCGTGAAAATGGTTACCCCGATAAGTTTATCATGAAACATATGAAAGAACGAAAGCGAAAGCCACCTAGGAGCATTGCTCCCAAGGAAGAGCTGTTCATACATTTGCCATATAAGGGCGATACTGCAGCTGATATCATATCTCGACGTCTGAAAGTTGCTGTTGAGAAAACTTATTTCGCAGCCCGCTTAAGAATTGCTTACCACAAGCCATTGCTTGCAAAACCCTTGAAAGATAGCCTGCCATTGTTGACCCGTTCAACGCTCTTTTATCAGTACTCGTGCTCTTCTGGTGCACGATACGTCTATCCCAGAGGATTCGCGAGCACATCTCGGCGTGGTTTTACAAGGGCGAAATGAGGTCCTCAGACAGCTCAATCATGTCGCACCTCCTCGAAAGTGGCCATACTGCATCTGAGAATGACTAAAGTCATCTACTCATTACCTGAACGCTTCTCGCAAGGCTTCCGAAAGCAAATCTATTGCCGAGGCTATTTACATCCACCATCTGAAGCCGGAATATGTGTACATAAACGTTTCATACGACCGATACTACTACCGTGGCCGACTGACGTGGTTACTTAATTCCCTTCGTGACCTTTCCTATTTACTTTAGGTTGCTGAGGCTTGTGTATTAAGTTTCCTTTGGTGCACTTTCTTGCCATCTGTAGCCGCATTTAGTCATCGATCTTGACCGTTTAAACACCTTAGAAATCAATCCCAGCCCGATTTGACGCTTACCCCACACAATCAGTGTTATGTAAACGTTTGGGTCTGAAGAGAGTTTATTGAAAACCATTCTTAACCCTGAACTGATTTCTGGTCTTGTTTCATCTGAGTACAATGGGAATATTTGTTGTGCTGAAAATCAGCATTGCCCGTGATTCATTGAGAACTGAGAACTGGTGCGAAGCAGCGAGTAGAGGTTGCTCTGTGTAGCTGCATCATTCGTCGTTTCGAAGTTTTCTTCTTTGCTCATGTATTGCGGCATGATAGCTGAGAATTTTTCCAACGGCAGCTAGCGTGTATAATGATGATGGAGTTCGAGCAGGGGGCGATCCAGGACCCATGGCATGTGTTTCAACAGAATCGTGGATCGCCACTCACACTGCTTCCCAAAAGGGACTGCGACGAGATAACCGTGAGGCAGGACAAGAACACAATTAGTATCCATGTTAAGTCAATGAGCATGATGAGCGTGTACACAAACATGTAAAATAAAGTTCATTACAAAGTGGAGCGAGTGTGGCATCAAACACGTAGCGGACGCCAACGGTCCGCCCATTCGAAAGGGAAGCAGAAAGATCCAATGGATGAAGGGACGAACAGGGAGAACAAAGAGTGGATGCACCACAAATGCTACTCATCCGCAAAAGATGGAGAGAAAATGTGGAAATCAAAAACGGAGGCGTGCAAGAGCACAGTAGGTGGATGAAGAGGCGATCACTTTAAGCGAGTAATGCAAGCTGCGGAGCCTACGGGGATACGATGTGGCCAATTGAACGCAGTGATTACACGCTCACACACGAAAAGCAGGGGAGAAATGGAGAATAAACGTTAAGTTGGGTCCTATACAAGAAAATCCGCTGTGGAGAATCGGTGGTACGGTTGTCTGTGCGCTGGTAGTTCTGCGATCAGTGTAAAGAAGTTAACACCGGTGTGATGGCGAATACGGATGTAAATGAAGTCAGCAGACGACAAGGCGAAATGCGGCTGATTCAACAGGTGCAAGAACGCCAAACTTGGACCATCCAAATGTTGATGCAACAGAGTTGCAGCGAACAAGAGGAATGCGGGATGACAGAGAATACCAACATGATAATCGCGAAGACCACTATTGCTATCGTCACTTGCGAACAACAAAGTGAATGCACCTCGTGTGTGGAACGCACGTTTTTGAGAGGGAGAAAGGGTGCATAGGGTGGGCGAAAACGTCATGATTATACAAAAGATGATGAGAGTACACAAGGTGTGTAAAATAGTAGCAGTCCAGAGCATACGAACACGCACGAGGACAAACTGATATAAGCAGTGACGTGAGATGGCAAGGGCTCAAAACGGGTAACTAACGAAGAGGAGAAAAAGCCCTAGAAAGTAGGTTGAACAGGAACATACTGAGGAGATGAGGGTCCATAGGAACTCGATGACATACATACAGTTGTCCTATCCGGAACCCAATGTGGATACCCTTCGAACAAACATAGGGGCAGCTTGCACGAGGTGAGGTGACTGAGGAATTTTCACCCAGAGAATGAGGGCGCAGGGACAATCGACCAGATCGACGGGGTCAAGTGAGGTCAAAATGAAATTAAGAATATCCTACGCTCTTGGATGAGTCATCGCAACCGCCGGGGAAACAGTGACGTTCGGAGGTGCAACGTCAACGCGCACAGCTCCCAGATGACTCTCCCGCAACGGCGATTCCCCGTGTAGCCTTGGATGAGGCTGTCTCTGGGAGCATTCATTCGTCGATGAAATCGGAGGGTTACAAAGTGAGATGATCAAACGTTGATTTCGATGGGGAACGTCCGTTGTCTCCTTCGGATACGCATCAGGTGACGCAAAAGAGTGGGGAGCACTTCGTGTTGTCGGAGGAACATACGTGGTTAGCTGCACAGGCACGGGAACCAGGCTGGTCGGTGGTGCTCCCGAAGCTAACGCGGCGGCAGCAGCCAACGCTGCGGCCCCAGCAGAAGAGGAGGCAGAGACCAAAATCAAGGGGAACCCGGACTTCGATCCGTTTAAGGCACGCATAATGGAGCTCCCATTGAGTTCAGAGTTCACGGTGTGTGACCGATTCACATCAGTTACCGAAAGGTTGGCGGCGTGTCTCGTTGGAGAGAGTACCATGAGAATTCGCGCGTTTGATGGCAAGTCTTCAGGTAGCTTGTGCCTTAGATCACGGAATTCGTTCGAATGGAGATTAGCATTCGTTGTCAATGCTGTATGCAATGAGGAGGAAGCTGAAGACTGATCCAGTGAGGGCCTCTCAGCTCCAGCCGCAGTCGACGCAGCAAGGACCAAGGGTTTTGCTGTTTCTGGCTAAAAGACAATGAGCAAACACAAGATGGTGGTTGAGAAATATTCACGTCATCAGAACGATAGGGTAGAAACAAAATGTTCGCAAATGGAGAAACGGTAAGTGATCTAGCCGGGACATACCAAACAGTGTGGATGGCCTTGATCACAACGACGACGGGTACAATCACCTGACTTTCCAGTGTATTCCAGCCCATGGCAAAGAACGTTACGCTACTACTCATGAGTATGACATCATACGTTGCGATTCGGTGATTTAAGATGAATCAATCATCCTGGAGAGCACATGTCTCAGATATGGGAAGCGGCCGTTGAAATGGTCATGCATTTGAGCCTCATTCGCGGCCGCTGCCTCCATCTGACTTGCGCCAAAAACGGAATTGGGTGTTCGAGTTCATTGTCATTATATTGTCTGCTAACAGGATACTGGTAGAGGCAGTAACAAGAATGCAATTTAAAGGTCACTTTTGTGGCTGTGGGCAAATTTCATCCCACTGCAATAGCACCGAAAGCAACGCGCGTCACCGGTCTGGAACACACATGTCCCCCACTGTGATGTCCTCCATTCTGACTAAATCGTTCGACTGGACAGAGGTTATAATTGGAAGGTGGGCAGCTAGTAAGTGGCAAGTTATGCCTTACAGGTGGGCGAGAGATGCGTTTGAGACTGTGGTGGTCAACCAAAGTGCAAATACCAGTTTCATAAAGAGCTGACCAGCCGGGTAGGCATTCTCAGGTACAAGAACGATAAACATTATTATTATCATCATTAGTATAATAACTACTACCAGAAGCCGACAGTGTGGACATCAGTGGCAAGTGCGGGTAAGGACCGCAGTTATACGCGCGTCGTCTAAAAGCGAGTGCTTCACTGGAGGAGGGAGGTCAACGACAACAACAACAGTCAGTTGTGAAGAGTAGGCATAAAGCCATTTACGACTGTTCGTGAGATGGGATACCACTGAAGTACTCAAAAGCAGAGTGGGGAACAAAAAGCCACGGGTCTAGAGACTTACAAACAATGCACAGGGATCTGATAACGATTGATGGAACCTTATAACAAGAATGGATGTCACTCAGAATTCGAATCTCACTCTAGAGGACTAGCAGACCGTCTGGTTGGCTGAACGCCAGCCACCAGTATACCGCGCCCAGTAGAGCTCAAAGGACGGGAACGAGCTCAAGCTAAACCTGGTCTTGGTCCATGTCACAATTGTGTGAATGACCAATCGGTTCATGGTGTACGTGTGTGTGTGTGACAAAGTCGGGTTATTGCAACTCTGGTATTATTACCAGCGAACAACGGTGGAAGAAGTCTTCGACATGGGCAAGACACGTTCGGGACAGCATAAGCCATAAACAAAAGAACTCACCTGTTGTGGCGTAGACAGCTGCTTTCCCGATGTGACGCCCATCACCGATGCAGCAGCATCGAGAGTGCTATCACGGTGAGCAATGTGATCAGAAGTACTCATCTGAGGGGTATGCAGATTGGGAAGCGACTGGCTTACCGCAGTGTCCGGGCTGGAGATATGCTCGAACAGCGGCGTCTTCGTATCACGTAGAGTGTGAAGATGGTTATGCACAGCGACATCGGATACCGAAGAAGCTGATGATTGGTGTCCAGGGCTAAATTTTAAAATAATGTCCTCATTGGTGACGGAGGTGCCATGCACACGAGATTCATCGCGAGCGGAATGCATGGTGGTGGGCTGAGAGGTGTCAAGTGCGGATGATAAAGTACTAATTAGTGAAAATGTTTGTGTTTCTTGGCGCCACTTGTTTATACACGAGTCGAATTGCGTCGAGGGAGGGTCAGTCGGACTTCGGTCGACGCACGTAAGAGTGGAGGTTACGGGTAGGTTGGGAACTGAACGTAGGGAGGAAGAGGCCGCGATTTGTGCCTGTGCCAAGGCATGGGGCTTTTCTGAGTAATTGTGAAGATGTGTCGTCAGCGGTGAGCGGTCCCTTTCCGCAGAAGTACGCGGCGCATTGGACGATGGAGTGAGACTGCGGACTAGCAGAGAAAGTCTGGATTTGGCGGCGCTTTTCGCAATTGGAGTGCGTTCTTCCGAATTCGTCTCAGTGTCTAAAAAGAACCGTTCACAAGTGGGCATAGTGTAAGAAAAGTAATGGTGGTAACCAATAAGGATGCTCTGAGCTGATGTGTCAGCACACGTAAGAAGGTGGACTCTGGCAAGTGAGATATGCGAAAAGGTCAACCCTATAAACCAGGACCGATGCTATCGTACGCACAGTGTTAGCATTCACGAAGCGTGTGATCAACACATCACGTGGTCCCCTTTGTGCACGTGCTTGGAAGAGAGGTGTGATTGATTCAGTCCACTAAGGCAAATGTGATCCGAGTATTCGAATACGAGATCCAGTTTTACGACTCATATCGAGAAAAGGTGGGAAAATGGAGAATGTTGCTCGTTGTCCGAGCCGGGCATATTGGTTTCAAACATTTCAGCACCAGGCTGGTTAATAACATCAGTGCAATCTCCAAAGAAGCAAGTTAAGATAATGGGGAGAAAAAGCCTAGATAGTACGAACAAGACAGGACCGTCAGATAACAAGGCTAACAAGCAAAAATGAAAATGTATCACGACTCCGTGACCGCATTACAAGGGAACGGTTCTCTAGTCACTGAGTTAGCCGATCCCAAGGCCACATTCAGAAACGCAGCACATAGCAAGCCGATCAAGCCTCTCATCTCCATGCTATTGTGTTAATGGAGTCCCCACCCAAACGGGAGCAGCAACAATGTACAGCGAATGCTGAAAAAGCTGCCGATTAATGAACATGTGAAGAAGAACAATGTGAACTAATAAATGTAGGCGGATGGTCGGTGCACATAGTGCTAAGCGTCAAATGGCAAGCCCCACTAACACCATTCGCCCCGGTACGACCATCGGATCGGAACAATTTTCCAAGTGTGATGGCGGCAACTAGAGAGATATTACAGTGGTGATCGCAATGTAACACTAGAAGCATTACAGAGGCGAACCACACCCTCGACGCACAAGCAGATGTCCTATCGTCCCTACAGATGAGTGGTAATTGAAAAGACCGCAAGGGACCTCCCGATCTGGACGGTAACCTGCACGATGATATAACTAACATCAGGGATGTAAATTTCTCGAGCAGTAAACCGATCGATAGTCATGGTGATAAGGAGTTGCGATAAATAAGCCCAGCCTGAACTTAGCAGATGCAAGGAATACATTGTATTATGCAGTGTCCAGTATTGCCTATCTGATGGATTATACAAATACTAGACCAAACTGTAAGAAGGCTACAAGGCCTCGGATTCTGAGCTCGGGAGTAGGTCGCCTGAGAAAAAGGGGCAGAGTGATCCAGGATAAGGAACAGTGAAGGTACTAAATGATTTTCACCGCGATATCTGTTGGAAACATGCCCATGACGTAACACACAAAGGCGTCGATTTTCAAGCCGTGTAGTGTCAGCACAGCGGAATGACGGGCAATGGCTATGTGTACCGATGGGCACGGTGCGAGAATGGGAGGAGCATGTACATGGGTGGCTTCTGGGAGTGGTGTGTGATCAACAAAGGAATGAAATGTTATGCTCAATTGAGTGAGAAATGGAACGTAACTGTCGGTTACTGGTGCGCCGGGGCAGTGAAGCCACAAGGAAGCTGTCTCGCCGATGCAGCCTTATCTTTGCACGATAACCAGCTGTTTGTGATGGTATGTTGTCTACACAAGGTGTAGGCGCCTTGCCATTAAGGTTTTCAAGTAAGCCCCCCTTCTCTTCCTCTTATTATTCTTTATTTCATAGGCTATCATGGTTGTATGGCAGCGAAGCATCAGTTCAAATAGCCGATGTGCTACTGTTGTTGTTGTACACAGGGTGAAAAGGAAATCGGATATAAGAGTACGGTTGCAGCCCCATTATACACTTCAGTACTGGGAGTAAAAAAATCAGGGAGGCGAAAAGGGGAATAGAGAAATATCAGTAGGTGGCACATACGGTTCAGCTCAGTTAATAAAATACAATCTGGGCAGCGAAGTCTGATGGACCTAGTTATTAGTATCCACGGTCATGCGATGAAAAACGACGTTCAGCCGAGAAAATGGGTTGAAGGGGACGAGAGCTATGTGTAGCAATTAGACAAAAGGAGCCGAAAACGGGAGCACCTTTACACTCTCGATCACACCACACTGGATGGGGCAGCTGATTACTGATATGGCTCTCATCCACCAAAGCCACATGAACCAACCCGACCAAATTGTACTGGTGATCTATCAAGCGTCGTTGACTAGCCATAGCTCAGCGCAAGTCGATGAACGGTTGACATACAAAGAACGGTTCGAAAACAATAGACCGTCCAGTATAGGAGCAGGGGATAGCTCCTCAAGCACCAAAAGATGAATGTAGACGTGTTCCTTCCACTGGACATGGGATATGTTACGAAAGCTTTACTGATCGAAGAGGAGCGGCTTTCTAGAGCATTCAACACGCAGTCGTGAGGCCACTGGTTCACACACATCGATGTGCGCCCAACCACTGACAAACACGCTGCTTCACGGTATTTCTAAGCCACTGACACCCGTATCGTGATGGTCCTCCGAGAATCAAAATAAAGATTAAGCAGCGATTCCAAAATCTGATACTATGGAACAAAAGATCACTTTATACTGCATATAAATTTGATCACTTTACTACTGCAGCACACTTGCACTTGCTAGCTATCCGCTTGAGACTATTGGCCTGCGTTCATCGTTCGTTTGCTGCTGTTTGGACCACTCCTATCTTGAGGGGAATAAGGTTAGGTTTGTTCACAATACCTCAACTCCATTCTGGGATGCTCATCTGATCCGTGCGAATGTGGCGGCCGCGGCGTTGATTGGCATTCCACCTGCGCGTTCCGTCACCATGGCAGCATACGCCGTCCGCTCGGGGTCAGTGTCGCGCGCATGCAATTCATTTGCTCATTTCCAGGACCAAAGCTTGACTTATAGCACTGCAAACCAATTACTCGCTGTTCATCCGGTCTGTGTTAACGCGGTCAGCTTGCGTCGGCGAGGCTGATTGGCTTTCCAGTCCATTGGCCGTGCGTCGGTTTCGCTCGTGTAACCTTCCAGCTAACATCACAAACGGGCGACTGCTTTCGTTTCGATATACCCACTTCCGCAGCCAAGGAGGCGCACTGTATGCTGTTTGGTACACAATTCGGTAGCAGTTGGTATGATTGAGGGCAGAGGCTTCCCACGAATTTGTTAAACAAGTATGGACCGTTTCGTTGCGCATTCATGGGATGAACCATCGTTGGAGTAGGAATCAGTGCCAGATTGTTCTCTCCAGTCAGATTAGAGGTGGTGATTCCAGTGTGATTCCAATAAAAATGGTGAGGTGGAGGCGGTAGTTGACACGGGGTTTCACACAATGCGGATCGCCACAGCATTTATCGATGGGCAGCATAGAGAATCAGTGCGAGTGGCAACTGGTCGCTGTATTAGATAGGAATTGTGTTCCGGAAATGGAGAATGTAGTTCGTTCCGCTTTTTGGACGTTCAGATGCGTTACCGCAGCTTGCTGGTGCGCAACGGTCACGTACATATTGGTCCAAATATGGGACATGGTGGTAGCGGTATTAGAAACCGAAAACGACACCAGGGCCGTTGTGAGATCACCAACAGGTCAGATGAACAGGACTGGCGGAGGCGGAAAGTGACCGCACTGATCCAGTCAGAGGGTTATTACTACGATTGCATCTAGACTGCATTTTGCCACCGGCCGGATCTAATCTACGTAAGTGAAGATCATACGTGGTCGTTGAGTCGTACCAACGGTAATCAATTTCCAAGTGTGAGACATTAGTGTGTTCCATGGCGTGTTGTTTGCGAGTAGAAAATGCATACCAACACGGAGTCGGGCTGTTCACCGTCACATACTGAAGAAGTGTGCTCCCAATTTTAGGGAGGGGACACAGGTCAATCCATACTAATGAAGCATGTGAAGAGACACGGGAGTGGGCAAAGTTTACCCTTTTTAAGAAAATGAGACGAAAATAATGTAGAGATCTAGTAGTGACGATTGGGTCATATCGATCGGTACTGCTACTGCACACAAGCAGTAAGTGGGATGAAGACATATGCTGATACTAGCTCGAGATGGCGCTGAGCGCGTCGCCTAGCCCGGTGGCCACACAGAGGAGGTAACAAATACAGTCGTAAAGAAGTACCAGTACACCGGTACAGTCATATTGATGCTTTGCAAACATGTGAGGGCTAATTATCGCATGAGGACTAGAGACCTCAGGGTCGCGGGCCCGAACGGGAGACTGTGGATTGCAAATTAAGTGTCTGGACCACTCGGCAGACTACCTCGGAGAAGAATTCAACACATGTGGGTAGGAGTGCCTGCAGGTGTCTCTGAGAAGAACGAAAGTGGCATGTGAGACCGGCAGACTGGTGTGCCGTTTCAGGTGGAGTAAATGTTCTCTTCTAGTGTGAAATGCGACACGATGCGTATACATGAATAAATAAATAGCAACAGACAAAATTTAAGCCATCAAGAACCACGGGATAAACGCATATCTGTGAAGCGATTACCACGTCCAGCTTTATACATTTGCGTACGACTGCAATGGAGATCGCGCGATGGTTAGTCTGTCATATGAAGGTAAAACGTTAAAGCACTGACTTCTAGTTTAACAATCGTTAATCTCGTGCGTCTTTAAGGCTAGGAATCCAAGGATGAATAATACCAAAAGGTTGAGGCACTAGAGGATAGGGCGCGAAATCTGGCTCAATGGAAGATTATTATGTAGTTATGCCACGATTTAACTGCTCAACAACGTCATAGCTAGATTGCTATGCGGAAAACACGCCACCGACCTTGTAGTTGAGGCAAGGATCCACAGTGGAAGCAATTCAGGTACCAAGAAATCCGGGGAAATCAAAGCCACTTAGTGGATAGGGTCCGATGGGGAACAGAACACTGCACAGCATCGTGATGAGGTGTACAATGGACCGACAGCTTGTTAAAAATATGAAAAGTTCGGAGGCGTTATCGAGACAGACTATCAGCCGAGTGCGACAAGCGTCCATTGATGTCGGCGGTGAGGGCACTACAGGAAGTGAAGAGGAGGCTAGGGACGGAGACGAATTAGTCACCACCTTCGATTTAACAAGTGAATTCCTTACTTCTCCAAGTACGACTCATTAATCAAGGTGTTAATGAGTGGGCATTCAGGATGTCTAGGCAAAGAGAAGCGATGGACAGGCGCAGAGATGGCCTGCCAAATAGAGATATTGAGTTGATGACACTGACACACAATGAGACTAAGGACCGTAACCACCGATCTGAGGAGACGGGAGAGGAACGCAACTTCCGGAAAGGTGGAAAGCAGGTTACTGACAGCGATGGTGGTGGCCCGCAGTGTGCTGTGGTATTGCTGTAGAGAGTTGATAAAAAGGATATCTTGATGACACAGCAACTATAAAATCGAACTCCCGTCCGAGAAATGCAGCTGCATACGCTATCGGTGCAGTATTGCAACACATTCTTTGATGCTGGACGATAGAACACTGTCCACCTGTCTCAGAATTCGTGATCATTGGTTACACAAAATCCACCATCAAAATCTATCAATATAAAACCCACATTCGTCCCCTATAAAAATAATGCTCATTACTATACTCCAACTTGAAAAAGTGACTGGACTGCAATATAAAATGTACCGCGCTACTTTACGAAATGTCGAATGAGAAACTCTGGTACTCTGTCTTACTATGACCGCTACTGTGAGATGAACACAGGAGACTAAAACTTAACCTGAGCTTCATGTTTGATGTGGTCCATAAATGCTCCTTTACCCCAGACATCGAGGTTGTACCTAAACCTTCCCTCAAGTACGATATAAGGAATATACAGACCACGTTACAAATGGAAAAAACACGAACTAGCTTAAGATCTAATTTCTTTCTTAATCGCTACGCAATTATATGGAGCAAGGTACTGCAGAATTTGAGAACGTGCGGCTCCAAGGGGGGTTTTCCGAAATTGGTAGTGAATAAAGTGAGAGACATGCTAAACGTGGAAGTGAGTAGAAGCGCGTTGTATGAGGAAGGGCCGAGTGCCACATGGCAAAGGACAAAATTCGCTGATTCGAATTCAACCCACCTTTACCACATTTTTATTTATAAAAGAACCTTGTTCCGTACTTCTAACTAACTCATATTTCTGTCCGGAGGTATCAACGAACAAATTACAGCGTGATTGCCGAAACCCGTCCAGACCACTCCCTACACATCTCGACTGTCCCGTGTGGCTGAACCGCTGAAACATCGACTCGTGAACACTTTCCTTATGAACGGATTGAAAGCAAATGATTCTTGACGATCCACATGCAAATTTGATCGGATAAACCACACGGCCCGTGATGCGCAATAGTAATAATATAAAGTAATCTTTTAGTTTTGTTTACTTATGGATCTCTTATACACTCCTACTGTAATATTAAATATTACTTTTTCTGTCCTAGAGGCGACAGTGCAGGGACAAAACACAAGTCGCAATGCACAGCGCTATCAATTCCTTTAGCTTTCGAACGCAAGCAAATAATGATGAACCCGAAAATTCTTTTTAGAACTGTCTAGCATATCGATACTTCGAGCAGTCAACTGTTTCCGACACTTCACCTGTACAAGTTGGTCGATCGGTCTTCCTTGTGCAGAAACGAAAGATACTATCTCTTTATTGGATAGCATAACTGTTACTACCATTGTACCTCCATATATTTGATGCTCTTCTCTACTTCATTGTTGGCCAATACGGGATCGATCTCCTGAGATGACGGAATGAAGCTTCCAACACCAATAATTTATACCCATGCAAGGCGCACTGCCATTGGTTTCATGGGGAGAAAAGTGTTTGACTCAAAAAAACGATTGATAATACGGGCTAGATGGCTTGACTGCCCATACTACATAGAGATAAAACACTTAAAGATGAGTTACATAAGTGACGGCTTGACTGCTTTAAAAGTCACACCGGAATACGGCCGAATGGGACATGGAAGTGCCGGTGAAGCGCATCGAGGGAATAACCCGCATAGAAGCAGGTCCCCAGGAGACGATTGCATGTTTGGTCGTATTAATTCATTTATATATTAGTATTTATCTACCCTTAGTATTTTTTGACAACCTCTCAATTTTCCCGAAAGATTTAACCGATTAGCCATGTTCGCCAAAAAAGTTCGAAAACTGCTTTGGAAAATTCGGAAAACAAAACATCTGCTCATTACGATTCCGTAGTACATCAAGAAGTGTAAAATCTTATTGGACTGTAGCGTACACCAACGAGGTATATACTGATATTTTTTATTCGCCACAACTTCCTACTGCTCAGGCAAGAGCATGGTACTAGCTGTACGTATATGATCTGTGCAAAATATGGACGTAGCTTTTCACTTAAAGAGGAATATGCTTAGTAATATTATTACTCGAATCCGCCAGGGTTTCTCACGTTGGCTGTAGATCTTTAGATCGCGCATATTCGACCGACAATACTCATAATACACAACTATCTGTGCATCAGCGGCTATGCTGAAATCCTTACTGGACGTCTTACCCAGTTGGGGATGTTTCTCGCTTGGCAGACTATTGAGTTGCAACCAAAGCCATCATCACCAAACTCAGAAGCACATTAGCCATCTTACTTCGTCCAAGGTGTAGAAATGGGAGAGGGAGAGCGACCTCATAGTGGCTAAATCATACGAAGTAAAGAACACAAAGTCGGAGACAAAGGTTCAAGGTTGGTGAGGAAGAATATGGCGCGCGTGCGTCCACCGTTCCGAGGGTGTGACGACACACTAGCCACGAAGGCAGATTGTTGGGGGCTTAGCGTGACAGGGACGCAGTCGAATGAGGACAGGTAGGTGTCATAAATGAGGGTCAAGTGGATGAGTAACCGCATAGATGCGCTTCAGTGTGATGGGAACCGATACATACCAACAGAAGAGTGATTCAGGTGGATGAAGAAAAGCTTATCGTGTGAAACAGAAACAAATGAGAGCTGTGAGTACTGTGACCCAGCCCGATGACTGAGCCCGTCGATTGGCATAAGGTAAAATGAAGAGGCTGTGACAGAAAAAAACACCAGAGAAACACAACGTGGACAACTGGTTTGTGTGATCACACCACAAGCGCCTCACCGCATAATGGGGGATGGCGTTGCAGGAATCAAGAGTATCTGAGAGAGATGACAGTGGAAAATTGCAGGTTCAGCGCATAGGTAGTCGATGAGCCTGGGCGTTCGGACGCCTGATTGGGAACAACATGGTATCGATCTGAAGGACGTTTGACAAAACTCAAAGCGCTAAGACAAGCGAATGTGCCGGGGGAAAAATGAGAAAACTTACTGGTCAGACAACCTTGGCTGTTGCTGCTGTCCAAGGAGGGTATCTGAACACCACTTCTTCGCTTCATTTGGTCAGCAGTGTATAAGATATGATCGGAATCATCGGTAACCGCCTGTTGAGGTAGACATACAGAAATGCCACGTGGACGATAATCGTAACCAGAAGGTAATGTTAATGGCATTTCGACTTCACGGTTGGTAGCGCTTGGCTTCTGACGGTCGTGATCATGAGAAGACATTTGGTATTCAAAAACAGGGGGAGCCTGGGTGTAACCAGATAAGGAAGCGGAAAATTGTGAGTCGAATTTGCGTGAAAGAAGCTTCTGAGGGCAGGATGGTGAAGCGGAGCAAGAGCCTACGATGGGGCTCCGCGCAGCTGCAGACTGATTTGACTCATCCGATGTCTCATTTAGGTGGCCCCAGTCGAATTTCCGTTTCTTCATAGGAAGTCGACAAGGACTCACAGGGAGAGAGGCTCGGCCGCGACGGAACTCAGGCGATTGTGGTTGACTCTGGGATTTCACTTGCGCGGACGTGGAACAGGAAAGTGTCTCGCTGAATGAGCGTTGGATGTGAGAAGCAGATGGAGGTCTCGTGGTGGCGCACGACGAGAAAGACGATCCACCTGCCATGATGGTCACTGGTGATCCAGCGATCGAGGAAACTACGCTCGATCGGCAGTGATGCTGGTTAAGTTTGAGAGAAATTGACACTTAAATCGGAAAAAGCCCCCACGCTGATTGAGAGCTCAACTTTTCCGGAGTTAGCAAATGTCTGAATGATCGGTGGAGAAACGCGATTTTGTGAGTTGCCAACTATATCGTTTCGATCGTCTGGCATGTGAACCAGATGAGGATAACTGAGCTGACCGCATGAGTTGAGTAAGGCTCTACGCAACCGACAGAGAGTGATTGGGGTCTGATGCTTCTCCGGAGCTGTGAATCGTAATCTGTGAAGATTCGCCAGATGCTCGTAAGCTAGCTCTTCGGACGAGAGTTGAATGAGGGATAGTGAAACTACCTGGACTGGAACTGTCCAAACGCACCTCGTCGGTCTCTGGAAGAGAATAAATAAGGAACGTTTCTGAAAAGAGCAAAACAGCGGACTTTTGATTTCCTTATAAAGACAGCTGGAGTAAAGCGAAGGCGCAGTAAGGTCACAGCAGCAAAATCGGTGTAGTTCAGCTAATTCATCATAGTCATTCTCCATCAGCAGGCTCAGGCCAGTCTGGAAGAGCACCAGACGCCGGCGTTTTGATCTTCTGGGTCTCGTCAGTGGTGCGCCTTCCAGTGGACCCCCTGCCGGGTTCCGCTCCCATGACTTCTGGATGCCAGCAACTAGTGCTACTTCGCCATGGGTGACAGCCGCGGACCTGCGTGATTGACAGTTGGCAGCCAGGCTCATTTTCCACCGCCATGCCAGTTACAAACTGTGCAGAGGAGAGTGGCTAGCCTCACGAGCTAGGACTTTCCACATAGCGCCCCGGTGAGGCACGAGGACATGAAAACCAATGTGGAGTGTGTAGCATTGAAGTGCAGACTGTAGTTCCCATCCGCTGACTGAATCTGCCCGAAAAAGAGATGTCACAAGGTGTCGAAGTGCACTACTAGCTACGGCAATCATGGGCAGACAAAGTAGGTCTCGTTGAGCACAGGCTGCACCTCGTTCGCAATGCAAGGGACAACTGAAAAAAACCAGACACTACAAACAGCTTCATAATGTCCAATTCGGCTGCGCCTTGTGGGGCACTTATTGGCCGATTTTGCACTTATCCCCATCAGGTCACACACTCTTCTAGTCCACCAATATGAGGCCGCAAGACCAATGGTTTATTGCTAGCAGCCAAAGTGTAGGGCTGTTCGCATACAAGAGGAATTATTGTTGCATCACCGGTGGCAGAGAGAATCACTGACTTCAACAGAAGAATGTGACCGTCCCTGTGAATAGACCACAAAGATCAGAGAGTGACCCATCCTCCTGCGAGTAGTTTTCTGATTTGTTTGCAATGGTGGTGTATCAGGGTGGGGAGTTTAGCAAATGCCAACGAGTCAAAATTCCGATGCAATGCTCGTCGTAGTCACTGGGTTTTTAACAGCTGCTAACTGGGGAAGGGTCTGCGAGTGGATGCCGTAGGCCCAAATACAGACAGTGACGATGTCGATGCCGATGCAATAGCCAAAGGTGACTGCACTGCAGTGTCGTGTTGTACTCTATCCTTAACCGATAATTCGACACCACGCGCGCCGTAACTGTGCATGGTACTCATGGTGCTAATGCATTTGATAATCTGGAAAGACAGAGGTAATACAAACGCGCTCGCTTCGGACGGTTTTCCACAATTTGATGAGTAACAAATCTAGGTTTGGTTTTGTTCTAACCCGGAACTCGTTCCTTTCGAAATAGCTGGTGAGACGGCAATTTTTTAGATATTGCACAGACATCGTACGCAAAACCCAGGATATGGTTTTACAGAATGATAGCACTTTTACTTTTAATCAACTTCAAAGCGGTAGCTGTCATTTTGTCACAATCTGTGTGAATATGGTGGCTGTCACGTTAACCAATCCAGAAATCAATGCTGTGTATCAATGCGCGCGCGTGAATGAAGGTCGGGTCTAAGGACAGAGGGGAAATACTTTAAATACGAGGCAGGGGTAATTGGGACAGGATAGGTGACCAGAACAACAAACCAAACCATAATGACTAAATAGTGGCACGTTAACGATGTGTGATTAGCTACATCTGAGCGGAAGGCTGTTTACAACTTTGGCGAGAGGGTGACTGTGATTTCAATCTGCCCCTCACTGAGTGGATGGTAGAAGTATACCACAAGCTGAACAATGATGGACAATAAGAAAGGCAAACTAAGTGGTTTGCCGACATATGCACAGCTTTGAAGAGCCACAGTATGGTCAGCTGACTCAGAGCGATGAAGCACCCGCTTGGGAGAACTTAGGAAACGCCACTGAAAAGGATGCCTATAGATCTGACACATGAATCGCGTGCGAAATGGTACGAAGGTTGAGTGTCTTCTGGTTTAAAGATACTGGCAGTCGCGGTCCCCTGCAACCTGCATTGCACTGCAAGTATCCAGGTGGTCTTCTGATAGGTTACCCGAACGTGGCCTGCGCTTGTGTACAACTGTACTGTGCATGTTTATTGATCGACACCTGAACATTGAACACTTCACCCAGATAGTAGAAAGCATGTGAATGGTAAAAGAGTGTGGACCACTTGACCGTAAATTAGAGTACAACGCACATGGAAATTCAACACTGAACGCCTAGGAGGGACAAGCAATACTCGTAACCAAACGGGGTAGTCATAATCACATAGTAAAAACAGGGCAAATCACTGGATTGGTATTGGATCCGATGCGTTGACCTATCGTTCCTTAGCTCATATGAAACCATACAATTTTTATCATTCGAGCGAAGTAGGGCACTTGAATTAGAGATATGCATCTGTAGTAGCTAAAAGACGATTGCAACTCAGTGATCGTTGGCTTACTCATTCTAGCAAATAGTTGGATATGTTGAGAACCCTCCAACCTGATGGCTCTTGATCCTTTTCTTTACGTAAGTTCACAAACGGTCAAAAATATCGGGGCATGAACCTCACCTCCACTACCCTGGCTCACCGAAGTCGAATAAGTGAAAATCAGATCAAGTTACATTGTGGTAGAGGACGCAGCACATATGTGTACATTTCACTGAGTGTTGGGATAGCGCCATAAGTACGGATGACTTGTCTTGATAGTCTTTCAGGACTTGAGGATCGCCTATGGTTAAGTTACTTGTGTCCCATCGGTATGCGCCAGATAGACCGCTTGCTATTATGAAATCGAAATAGTGCGATCTCTGTGGTCGTGCACGGATACACAGGAGGCTCTTTCCTCGGTTCCTAATCAAGACTGTATCAAGGATGGCCCATACGCTTATTTTAACAAATTTGCGATCGAAGAAACTATGGGCGGTGCTGTTCTTTCCATTCCCGCTACGGCAGACGACCTATCTAGTGACTAAGCGGCAAACTTAAGATGCGTGTGTGTATGGGTGTGTAGTATGACTCTCCTGGGACCCCAACTAGCTGGGATGTGTGCTTCCCGCTCCACTCCATTATGTGTTCCATGGTTCCAGTTTCTGCTATCTCCCTCTCATTGTTGTTACTTATGCCAATTATAACAGCGAAGTGGGTCATGGTGACTGGACCATAAATGGTCAACTGAACCAAACGGAGACAATGCATGCGAAACCCCGGGATCGGTAATTCACATGGGAATCCGAAGGTTAGACCCAACTCACTGGTTGCCGAAATACATCGGGAAACCAGATGAAAAAGACGTGCCCAAATGTGCCCAAGACAAGTAGTACCAGCGGACGAGCTAGCTAAGTATATGCGGCAAAGTGAACAACCATAGCCCGGTTCAGCGTTATACCAAACGACTTTTAGAAACAGGTCAGTTCTTGCAAGTACGTTGCTCAGTGCGGCACATTAGATTGAAGTCACTGGCTAAGTCGAACAAAACTACACGTTGGCCATCCGCGTAAGATGATTTAAAGTAGAACGTGCGCTGAAAGCATAAGAGGGATGCTTGAAATTAGTCCAAGGCACGGCGTAAGAAACGGGCATTCATTTCAACGGAACACTTTACGAGAAAAAACTGTGATGCCACGAAGGATTACAAGCCCGTCGGCTGAGACACCGGCTGCGCATATCAGTCCACCGACTCTCGCGTCGTGCGTTGTTTGCGCGCCGGGGGTGTGGATGGAAGAAGAGGTGGGGTGGCTAAGCAATGATTTGGTCAAGTGGAAAGAAATCCCTCACCTCGAAGTTGGCATCGGTTGGTGTGTCCCGACTGCCTGGCCGGGGTCCGAAGGATGATGAACACTTTTGATTGAATGCATTGGTTGACATGGCAAAAAGCAGACCACAGTAGCATTTGTGTTGTGAGTTTCTTTGTCCTCGCCAACCACGATCTATATCTTGACGCATAATATATCGCTAAGCAGTGTGTCGCCTGCTTCTTTATACTATAATTTTCAATATCTTGCATTTTCGAATGTCATATCTTGAAGTATTGCAGCCCAATAGTTGAAGTGTGTTTCGCACCCTCAGCTAATGTGTAATGATGATGGCAACAAATTAACTACTACTACGTAAAGAATTATGTCCATGACATACGATGATGATGAATTCAAATATTGCATATATGAGCATAGAATCAAATATCCAAGAGTGCAGGTGATTGGAGAAGGCAAACTCCAATGCGACCAACGTTCGGGCATTCATCGCTCAAAGTGTAGAAATAACAGTCCCCGACAACATGTCAGGCAAAACTTCTGATTTTGACCGTAGTATCGCCAAGTAGGACTGACATAAGAACCTAAGTGATGTTGTACCACACTTTCTCCCATGATTCGTTTTGCGCTATGATGTCATAGCCCGAAGAACATACCACGGGCGACCGAAATGTAAACAATCGTGTGAGTGGTCCTGCGGAGCCACTTCTCTCTCCGATTCCTGGTTCTAACGAATATTTCCTGTGCCCCCTAATTAACTGTATCTCGACACATCTAAACCATCATCTAAAGCAGTCGATACTCTACGTATCACTCATCCACCTGCTTCGGTCCCCATATAAAGGTGTAACATTTCACCAAGCCTTTTCACGACATAATCGCTCTGCCGGTCTAAAGAAAATAACAAACCCGGGCAACATAGCAATTAATGAGCAAATGTGATTGTGGACAATCTAACCAAATCCAGAGGACATGTAACGTGGTGATCCCAACGGCTGGCTCGTAATCTCTAGAATCTGTGTTCGAGTTACAGCTTCTGCACAGCTTTGGGCGTCTGTGTATTTTAACATCCCGGGTTCTGTGTGACAGCGAGTTATCAGTGCGGAATACAGGTATATTACCGAGGTTCTCTTTTAGACAGAATCCATGTCTAATGGTTCTCTGTTTGTACTATAGTTCCTGTACACTTCCCACAACTATCTTTGATCACTTACATTTTATAGGTGAACGACGGGCGAAAACCAAAGGACATAT